CTTGCACCTGATGAGCAAACCAAAGTGGTTATGTCGGAAATTTTCGAAGAAGCTTAAAAATTGAGAAATTATTATAAATTTGTAACGGTTAAGTAAGCCAAAATCACCATTACGTTGTCTTTTGTTTTCTTCAAATATATTTGTCGAAAAAGCTATGACTTTGAGAAGGTCAACTCTATGAGCATCTTCAAAACAAATAATGAACTTTTGTCTAGGACAGATTTCATGCCTGTATTTGTCTGTATCTCTGTTAAGGAACATAAGCACTCTGGTTTTAAGAGCGCAAATAAAATGTATATGGCTGTCCATTCGGATCGGAAGATTCCTAATTGTGTCATCTGATACTGTGTTATTTGTATAGATATGGCGTGGACAATACACGCTACAAAGATTAAAAAGCATTCACCTAAATTTATTAATCCTCTGATGAATATAACGGGTGTTTTTATTCTTAAGCAACACGATAAGGACACGATAATAAGAGACAGTCCTTTTGTATTACCATTAAGTATTGTGTTCTGTTTGATTAAGATCTCATTTACCGGAAGTGCCGTTTGTCTTGCAGGTCATCAAAAACGCAAGGTATCTCCTACATTAATGTCAAAAGTCATTTTTAATTTATTTTGCTAGCGATGACACATTCTCATATATCAAAGTCAAGGATGTATCAAACAGGGTCAAGTTCACGGATCAAGTTGTTCACCCTGATCTTGCCTTATTCAACCAAGGCGACTTTTCAAATCATGCACATGTTCTGTGAAACTAACCTTAGAAGAAGAAAGTGTCACATGAGACCTACACCTTAGGTGGGCAGGAATTGAAATCTACAAAGAAAAGAAAATTGATGTATTGGTGTCGCTTAGTGAACAGATCTTGTCACCATTCACCTATTATTTTCTTTCTGACATTTTTGTTTATTTAATAATGAAGACAGTGAAGAAAGATAAACAAATTTATCAAACTTGAGTAATAAAATGGGTCACAATTGGTAAAATGAAAACGTGCCTTGCAGAAGAATTATATCTGTAACCGTAATTGCCGTGAAAGTACTGCCAAGTACAAAAGACATGTCACTGCGACCATAGTTTAAATATATAAATCAAACATAAACAAGAATGCTTTGCGTGTTTGTACATCTCAGTATAGTAGTTCCAACAGACAAACTTATTCTTTCAAAGATAGATAGAAGTATACATACCCACGGACATGGTAATACAGAATGGTACTGCATTTCATGTACCTATCAGAATTACAGTGAGGATTTAAATACATGTAATCCAGATTAGTAAAGCTTTTTTGGCATTTGACTACATCATTATTTCATATAAAGTGCAAAGAATTCCTGACGCATATTACGATTCCTTTCTGCTGATTCGTTCTTGTGGAGTCCTTCAATAAAATGTCTGTTTACAACGGGCACTACGTTCATCGAACGCTTGTTGTTTAGCATGAATTTGAAAAAAAGGAAATGCACTCTCTTAAAATGTTTTAGGAAAACTGGTATAGGGAGTTTTATCTAGCATTTCTTGAACTCAGAAATAATTATCTTGACGCCGGTAAAAATAAAAATAAATTATAAAAATAGTTTTTTTTGCTCGTATAAATTGAATATCTAAGATGTCAAATCTGGACTGGTTCGAGTATTGTAAAATCTGAATCCATCTTAAGGCTCATCAGAAGCAAAGTTTGTAATAATTATAAAAAATATTATGGAAAGATGACATTGATATACATGATGCATTCAATGAGATAAATCAGATTTAGATCTCCGAATTATTATCTGAGAATGATGTATTGAAAGTAGTCTATATGCTTAAAAGTTGCAAATCATCAGGTGAAGACGGACATTATCTAAAACTTGAATGTTACATAAACACATATATTGTTTTCACAACTCTTTTATGTAATCCGTTACTATTTATTGGTTACATATTCGCAACACCAATGACGTCAAATTGTATATGGATGAATGATCTCTTAACGAGTTGTTCCAAAGCACGGAGTCATACCTCACAACAAAAGTAGACTGTCCTATATAGAAAAAAACAAATATTTAAAATTTTGTCGGTTTTATGGAGCCGTCTTCTGTGTGTATTACACAATGAAAATTATCTCATGATCTATTTTTTTACGCTTTTTGCATGTTTTTAAGTCTACTCTTTGGTTGCTGAATGTGGGGTGAGTTTGGATTGCACTGAAGAAATACTTCACAATTAATTAATGGACATTTTTGATGGGATTTGTGCATGGAATGGTCCGTTGTCTAGTAGGAAAATTCAAACCTTTCCTTTCCACTAGTTTCACTTGTTAAATCCAGCTTATGTGGCGTAAACTTCTCGATTGATTAGTTTTGCCGTCTACAACGTTTTGTTACCCACTATTTAATATATAGTTTGGATGCCTGAAAGCATATTCGTTAGTATGTCATGTGGTTTGTCTTTTCATTATATTCTTAGTTTGAGGAAATAATGATGTGAACCATATATAGTAGTTCGGTCTGTCCAAAATATTAAATATTAAAGACAAGCTTGTTACTATTTTACTACTATAATAAAAAAAATATTTCCCTAGTGAGGATGTGTTTGCCTTGACGAAATTTACTTTTATGATAATAATGTAAATAATTTTTCACTTAAATTCAAATATAATATTTTCTGTGTTTCATTAACAACCACAGTCGGTTTTATATTGGACTCTATAAAGGTACGCATTGAATCCCAATATTTTCCTGTCGGTCTAAATGTTAAACCGGTCAATAATATTAATAATAATGACAACAACAACTACAACAACTAGTAGCAGTTGTAGCAAGAGTGAAAAAAGATAAGATTGATTGTATTTCGCAGAGGAGGCTATCTCAAAAGTTACGATAAATGGTATTGTGGCACTACAGAGATGAAGACTGAATCATATTACAAGTTTCTAGGATGCATATTTTCTTCACAAAAAAATCTTCCTGGTATATGTGCCAGAAAACTGTCTTTGCTCTGATGTTTATACATATTTTGAAGGAATGTCTTTCTAAATTTGGCTGATTACCTGTAACTGAATTGCTTCGTATATTTGACTTGAAGGTAGCTCCCGTTCTTAAATATAAAGCTGATGTTTGGGGGTTTTATGAAGGCATTGTTATTGTAAAAATTCATTTTTCATTTTGTAAATATATTCCTGGTTCCTCTAAGTCTGTTCCAAAGGCATTCTTATATAATGAATTGAAAGAACTAGTGTGCCTTGTATAAGATACGAAATTTAGGTTTAGAATTCTAAAAATGCCAGACAGATATTCTACATAACACACAATTTACAGCTAAGAGGGAAGTGGGGAATGGGATTGTTGCGGTAACATGGTTAAAATGTGTCTGTTTACGTATGGATTTATTTGGTGTATTCCTAAATTAAACGGTGATAATTCATTTCTTTGATTGTTTAGTCAGAGCTGTGAAGACATTTTAGACAAAAGGTATATGATTATATTAAATAAATGGAAAGACTGCGTTTATATAGAGTATTGAGTGTATAATTCACTTGTCAAAGATATCTAGAATTTATTGAAGAGCGAAGTTTGTCATTTCATCACTAAGTTTAGAATGAAAAACTTGCCAATCAGAGGTAGCACATAAAGGTATGAAAAAATATTGCCAAATTTGTAATATTAATATAATAAAATCAGTTCCTTTTTATTATTGTTTGTCTACTATATAGAGAATTATGAAGAAAATAATTAACCAACGTTTGGACGTTTGGTACGAAACTCCAACTCTAAAAAACTATGTCACGTATACAAAATGATATTAGAAAATTTCTGATTAATTTAACAATGCATAGTATCAAAGCCTTAAATATCAGAGAAGCCGTTCTTTCGACAGTTCCTGTTACATAGACTCTAAATCAAACCGTCTGTTTGCTCCATGCAGGCCATCGAGTTCTCTTGAATCAGTATTGTGTTGTAAGTGTGAAGAAACACCGAGCAATTTCTTGCAACATCGAGCAATATCTCTCAACATCGTGCAATTTCTGGAAACTTCAAGCGCATCGCACAACCGGTAAACAATCAACAATGAGCTAAAATGGATTCAATTCGTCAAATATCAATCATATCTCTCTCTCTCTCTCTCTCTCTCTCTCTCTCTCTCTCTCTCTCTCTCTCTCTCTCTCTCTCTCTCTCTCTCTCTCTCTCTCTCTCTCTCTCTCTCTCTCTCTCTCTCTCTCTCTGATAAATCATTGCATTGCAGATACCGATAACATTACGTTTCTTTTACACCAATTTAGTGTTAATTGGATTCAATTCCTTAAACACATGAATGATGTTCAACCTAGATGGTTACAAAAGCATCCAAGGTCAAATTTTAAAAAGAAATATTTGAATAAGAAAACATGACTGAGAGGTTGTAATATTCGAGTGGTTCCATGCTTACCTAAGTAAATTATAAATTGATAAACTATACGCGTGAGCAAGCTCAATTGTCTACATTTTATTGCTGGAAACCCATCCACTCTGCGCAAAAATATGACCGAAACGTGCAGACATATTTCATAATGCAATGCCTAGAAGCATATTTTCCTTCATTTCTGCACGCGACACTTTGGCTGTCTGGGGATACCTTAAATGATTTATAAAATCATGAATCTAGTGTAGAAGTATATTATGCTTGACATCTATTTGTCATCTATATGACATTTATTTTGTTGTTGGTCTAAAATAGTTTAACAGATGGAAAATTTGTCGTCATATTCGCCATTAGAGGGTATTGTTTATGGCTTTATATTTTGCAACATATAATACTAATTTGCGGTTTATCAAATACGCTTTGTAAAAATACTTGCTTAATACAGATTTCATTCTCTACAAGATACTATCATAATCTTTAAGTTTAAATCAAAGAGTTGGTACATGAAAATTATTATAAAAATTCTACAGTGAAGTGGTAAATACAGTATTTTATGATAAATAAATACATGGATGGCAGTTTTACAGTAATCGTTTGTTTTGTCTGTAAAACTGCTACGGTGACCTAGTGGTTAGGGCGTCAGTCTCAGATGTGGGAACTCGCGGGTTCGAACCCCGACCGAGCCATACCAAAAAAATTTAAAAAATTCTACTAACAGCTGCTTCGATTGACTCTCTGCATTAGGAGGTTAGTGTTAGGAATGGTTGGCCTGGTGTCAGGATAATATAACTGTGTGAGACATCATGCAACACGTCTGTGGCATGAGACTCCAGTACTAGACATCACTATAAACTGCCACACTGCATACATAGCAGCGATATGACTGAAATTTGTTTTTAAACCTACGTTAAAAATCGAAATCACCTCTCTCTCTCTCTCTCTCTCTCTCTCTCTCTCTCTCTCTCTCTCTCTCTCTCTCTCTCTCTCTCTCTCTCTCTCTCTCTCTCTCTCGTATATGTAACATTTTCCAGCATTTAAATAGGTTTATTTCATATAAGGATATTCGTTCCTTAAAACAATGTTACATACTATTTCAGTTTTTCAACTTAAACTGACAGAATACTAAAGTTTTGAAATGGAATAAAGTTACTTTTTCCTATTCAATATGCACGAACTTCGGCTCTGTTATATTAAAGCTAAAAGAATACTGTATGTACTTTTAAAAAAAATTATATACATACATATATATATATATATATATATATACATATATATATATATATATATATATATATATATATATATATATATATATATATATATATATATATATATATATATATATATATATATATACATACATACATATATATATATATATATATATATATATATATATATGTATATAATTTATATATATATATATATATATATATATATATATATATATATATATATATATATATAAACTGATATCAGAGCTTCGTGTTTTGTCCGAAAGTATTCACCTTTGCTCAGATTACATTGTACCCATACATAATGAATTTCAAGTAGTTGGCGCAAATCTGCTACTGAAATAGCGATCCAGTCAATGTTTGTGCGTATCGGAGATTATTATAAAACTGTCACCGCCAGATTACAATCCAAATGTACCATCATAATAGAAAGCGTACACACTAATGAAATACTGTTTGACGGTGTTGATAAGATGCAAACTTTATCACATTGTATTTATTTTTTCCCATTTAGAGCGATTACAACAATGTCACAACTGGATTTTAATTTCATTTTTAACACATTAGTGACTATAACATAAAAGGAAACTCGAAAGACACCGAGGCAAGCTACCTAGGCTGACCTTTGCGGTTATCGAACCAGCGCCATGAAGACTATCAGTCCGACGCTGGATTAAGTGAGTTACCTATGCTATAGAATAGATGGAACCATGATACCGTGTTTAGGCTCCATATTGAAAACATATAGCCTAATTTAACTTTTGTGTATAATATTTACATATCGATATGTTTGGCACATATGCAGCGCAAGCCGTGCTGTTATTTCGCACTATATACGTACAACTCACAGATGAACATTAGATGCACTGTTTAAAAATACCATCTTTGTTAAATAACGTTAGCGAATTACATCTGCAAATATAAGTGTCTTGTTTGCAATTTTAATAAAGTAGCATGCACATATTTGCTGCAATTTATGTCATTTACAAAACGCATTTGTTTGATTTCTAAAATGTATGCCTTCCGTCTCCCAGATCATATCGCGCTGTCTCAGTCAAGAAAAGATTCAAATAATTGTTTGTACATTTGTGTCTAATACGTCCTTTTTCCATTCCTGCATCTCAAAATTATATGTATGTGGATGTGTTTTCTTACTCAAATAATGAACATTGCCAAATATATGCACTGTTCCACTTATTTCACCATGCTTTCTTGCAGGTTTGTAAATCAAACATCTGATTTTCATTGAAAACAAACTGTCTGGTATTCAAGCAGTTTTGTAAATAGTTATCTATTACGCAAGTTTGGAACAATCAATAAAACACAATAACGAATTAAGTAATTCATCTTCAAAAAAATGATGGTATATCTAGGAGAGACAAAATGGTACTGGTGCCGTCAGTTTGATACAAATGTGCGTTTGCTCTTTCTGCTCAACCACCAGGCAAACGAATGGCGGCCATCGAACCATGATAATTTATTTCCTTTTTCTCAATATTGACGACGGGCTGGTGCAATATGTTTGACTTGTCACCGGACCAAAGGTATTTGTCAAAGCAGGTGCTTTGCAAGCGCTTCTCGTGCCGAAACAAGCAAATTCTATATTATCTATTGGCATTATTACACTAAATACGTAGGTATAATCGTGCTATGCCCTTTATAATTGTTGTAAATAAATTGACCGAACAGTATTATAGTAGAGTGTGACAGAAATGATGTTGACAAGATGCGTGGGGGTTGGGCAGCGCATTCAATGCTAAGCCAGTAAACCGAATTACCGGATGGAAATTGGTCAGTTTTAATATCACGTTACTACCTCGGAAATTGTGTGTAATTAGTACGATTGATTAGCGTTTACCTGGAGCATCTGCTCGGATCAGTATTGGCCTAGCCAGCAACAGTAGGTTTCTTGCTCTTTTGACCTGTCAGAAGTTTAAAAATAAAAGCACAGAACAAAATGGAATATGTTAACCTTGTACTTTTCTTGCACAAACCATGCTGTTTAGGATATCAGTCTAATCTCAGTAGTATCTTGCTGCGAATTTGTATCAAAAGCAACATATTCTAATAAAAAAATAATATAAAATATGGATGATTTTGTATAAGATTAACTTACGCACAGAGATCGCTAACATCGACATTTAAACGAAACAAATTTGGATATATCATCTGTCAACAAAAATATACTAAAATATCATACATGCACATATATAACAAGAACCACGAATATTTATAGGTGCTTTTCTGTTGAATAAATGACATACTAAAGTTTCGGCCAATAAAATGTACAGGACTGCTGCAATAAATGTCGGTTATTAAACAATAGATAACTGAACAATATGGTCTTCGCTTATCAGTTTACTCACTTGAAAACATTGTGCTCGCGTGCGAGCACAAACTCCCAAGTTAGAAACTCCCAAGTTAGAAACCTAATGATTATGTAATGAGTATGTGTTATTTTGTCTATCCGGTATAGCTTGGAGTAGACAATTAAATGGTGATGATTTTCGCCAGGATTCCCAGTTATTTTCTGGCCCTGGACTATATAAGTGTTTATGCGAGTTTTCGACGATATTTATATAAGATTTCCACTTGCACAACATAAAGAGAAATACATTCTTTTCAAATAACTCATAATTTGAGTTTGACATGATTTTGAGTCTCTGTTATACGCATCCTAGTCTCTGTCACTACGCATTCTAGAGTATGTCACTACGCATCCTAGTGTCTCTGTCGCTACGCATTCTAGTATCTCTGTCACTGCGCATCCTAGTGCCCCTGTCATACGCATTCTAGTGTCTCAGTCATACGCATCATAGCGTCTCTGTCACTACACATCCTATTGTCTCTGTCACTACGCATCATAGTGTCTCTGTCACTACGCATTCTAGAGTCTGTCACTACGCATCATAGTGTCTCAGTCATAAGCATCTTAGTGTCTCTGTAACTACGCAACATAGTGCCTCTGTCATACGCAACAGTGTCTCTATCACTACGCATCATAGTGTCTCTGTCACTACGCATCCTAGCGTCTCAATCATAAGTATATTAGTGTCTCTGTCATACGCATCATAGTGTATCTGTCACTACACATCATAGTGTCTCTGTCACTACGCATCCTAGTGTCTCAGTCATAAAAATCTTAGTATTTCTGTCATACGCATCCTTGTGCCTCAGTCATAAGGATCTTAGTGTCTCTATCCCTACGTATCCTAGTGTCTCTGTCCCTACGCATCCTAGTGTCTCTATCACTACGCATTCTAGTGTCTCTGTCACTACGCGTTCTAGTGTCTCTGTCACTACGCATTCTAGTGTCTCTGTCACTACGCATTCTAGTGTCTCTGTCATTACACATCATAGAGCCTGTCATACGCATCCTAGCGTATCTGTCACTACGCATCTTAGTGCCTCTGTCCCTACGCATCCTAGTGTCTCTGTCACTACGCATTCTATTGTCTCTGTCACTACGCATCCTAGTGTCTCTATCACTAACCATTTGCCCCGAATAACGTGATGCTTCCATTTAGATGTCATTAGGTGTTATTTTATTTGTTAGATGTACTTAAATAAATTACTGAGCAATCTGACCATTTACTGAAGTCATCGAGAGGCTAACGTGGGTGAGAGATTGATTCGGATCTATAAATTAGTGCTAGCTATCTTACCGTTCTAGCTCAACATGATGTTGCATGATATATGATTTGTCGAATGAATAAACGTAATTAAATTTTAATCTTTGGAACTGATTCTGTCTTTGGTAACGCTTTTGCACTTTTATATGTGACATGTTCCCGTCAAATATGGTGTGATTTATGCCATTATCTTCTTTGAAACATTCTAAGTTATCGCCAGATATGCTTTGATAAGATCGGTTTATAATCCAACACAATGCTGCTATTACTGTAAAATGACAGTTGTTGAAAGACAAAACCTATTTATGACTTCTACAATTTTCTGCTTAAATGGTCTTTTTGACATGTCTCTCAACTCAAGAAATAAAGGTCAAAGATGAGACTCTCATTTAAAATATGGAAAATAACACATATTCAAACTTCTTTTGCTAACGCAAGCTTTAAGCCCATTATATAGGAGTCATTCATCACTTTAGATTTGCATAAGGGTGTGTCATACAATAAGGATATCTTGTAGACACTGCTAATGTTTGTCTTCTACGCCAGATTTTATGTCACGGAAAATTACAAGTATTTAAATAAGCCATTAAAGTCTAATAAAATTATTGATAGAGGTTAAATTATAGTAATTATTTTTTCCAATTCTGACACACGCGAAGCTTGCAAAGTTTTATTGAATATTAACCATGTTGGATGTAGTAAGCATAGTGGCACATGCCTATCCGTCTTGTAAAGAAAAATCTTTTTATACATGTTTTCCAGGTAAGTCGTGTTATCATATACTATAAGAAATTTGGCAAGATATCAGCAGCTGTAATT